TTAGAAGAAAAAAAAGAAGGAGGGAAGAAAAAAGAAAAAATTCTAAGAGAATCAAAAAAGAAGAAAAAAAAGGAAAAGTCTGGGAGAATCAAAAAGGAGAGGAGGAAGGCTAATCACAGAGAGAAAAAAGAAAAAAAGGGGGAAGGGTCTGAGAATTAGATTAGAGAATCAGAGAGGGGAAAAAAGAAGTGGTGCGAGAGAGTTTGAGAAAAGAGAGAGGGAAAATAAAATATTTTCTTTGATATTTTTATTTCCATTTCATCAATACACCATTCAAAAACCAAGCTGTAATTCCAAATTTTGGACTGAGAATTGAGAACGCATTCCACAGACATGAGAATAATCAAAAGAAAGTTTGTAACTCAAAAAATTCATCATTTCCCCAAAAGATGAGTTTTCACAAATTTTCATTTAATTTAAAAATATGATATAATTTGTTTAAATACTTCATTTACTTCTTTTCATAACTGTTTTTTTTATCGCTTTATTGGGAAGGCTGCACCACCCACATATCTGCTGTAATTTAAATATTGTATATAAACTGTTGTAATTTATTACTTTAAATAATTTACCCCACCGGATGAATAGTAACCTCCAGTGGTGAATAGTAACTTCCGGAGATGAATAGTACCTCCGGTGGTGAATAGTAACCTTGATGATGAATAGTACCTCCGGCGGTGAATGGTAACCTCCGACGGTGAATAGTACCTCCAACTATTTAATTTTGCTCGCTTTCTATAGCTTAATTTCAGCACTATTACATGCTATTTAGGGGCTGTTTAATTTATTTCAATGATTTATGTTTTAAATATCAAGTTTGTTTGTACTAACTAATTAATCAACTTCGCATAATCATCTCTACAACCTCCCTTCATTCTTTGCTTATTTCGATTAAAAAGTTGTGAAAAATTAAAATTGTGGTTCAAGTATAAGAAAGGAACTCTTCCATACTTAATAGTTTAATTTCTTCGGAGGTTCATTACTAAAGGTATAAAACGCTCAATGCTTAATGGTTTAATCTCTTTGGAGATTCACTACCAAAGGCATAAAACGTTTTATGCTTAGGAGGTTCATTTCCAAAGGTATAAAACGTTCTATGCTTAATGGTTTAATCTCTTTGGAGATTCATTACCAAAGGCATAAAACGTTTTATGCATAGGAGGTTCATTACCAAAGGTATAAAACATTCTATACTTAATGGTTTAATCTCTTTGGAGATTCACTACCAAAGGCCTGAAACGTTTTATGCTTAAGAGGTTCATTACTAAAAGTATATAACATTCTATGCTTACTGATTTAATCTCTTAGGGGATTTACTACCAAAAGCATAAAATGTTCTATACTTAACGGTTTAAATTCTTTGGAGGCTCACTACCCCAAATGTATACATGTTCTTATACTAAAGCACAATCTTTTATTTTTCATTTATCTTTATTCATCAGTGTGTTTACTTTTAAGGGACTAATTGACCCTTAGAAATCACCAAGGAAAGTGTCATTATCACTTATTATCAAGTTTGGATTTTAAGTCATTATCACTCAAGTTTGGGTTTTTCTAAGTCATTATCACTCTTTTGAGTTTGACTAGTCCTTGTTGCACATCTTGAGTTTGACTTGGAATCTCTTATCGCTTGTAAATAAGTTTAACTCTTCCTTTGTAATTTCCCCCGAAGAAAATTTTCTCAGGTTAAGTTGATGCTTGTTTCTCTTTATTGCATTTTGGAATTAGTGGACGTAAATATCACTTTTGCACAAATAGGAGAAAAGATAAAGAAATGAACAGGTAATAAAAAAGGCTAATAAAATTGGTTAAAATTAGATTACAACCGACATAAAGAACCAATATGATTAATTGAATTCGGTCGGACGTTATACCGAGTTTATTGAGTCAGGGCTTATTGTAATAAATTAGACAGCCCCTTTCATTTATTATTCATTCGGTTTTGTAATAATTATTTATTCGGACATTTGGACATTCAGACCCTCCTTCGCGAGAAAAAATATGTAATAAGTTGTATGTCTTCCAACCCCCATTCTTTCTCCCTTTTATTTCACTGCTTATGATGGTTAGGTTAGAGACATCATATTTTCAAATTAACATTTCCATGACTTGCATCCATTCGTTTTGCATGCATAAAAGTTCGGCTCATCATATTATTCAAATGTCAAATTCAAACTCTTTACTTGAATACATGCTCTATCACATGCCTTGAATTGACTTGCACGTTGTATGTGTTGCATTAGCCATATCGCATTAATTAGGATCATTCATTTTTTCTAACTATTTACTTTCTTTTGACTCACCTTGGGACATAAGGTAAGTTTTTATGCTTTAGCATATTGCATAAGTGTGATTACTGTCATATCAAACATACTACCATGAGGCTAAATGCTTACTTGATGTACCTATTTGAATGTCTGTGGATGAAGGCTAATCACTTGAATTGGGATACTTTAATTCATGTATATATGAGATCACCATTTTCAGTGATCCATATTCAAAACATTTTTTTCAAAACAAACATGGAATCAAACGTTCCAACTTTTCGTGAAATTAGTCTATACTTGTATGTTACACATAGAACAAGAGCATATACTGTACATAAAAATCACATCATGATTAGTAGAGGCCGATCTTTGATCGGGTGAGTGGGGTGTTCAATTATTGACCTTCCCCTCTCATACCTAAGTTCCCGAACCAAGACACATTGGGAACGACGGACTAATGGCCTTTGGCACGAGTCATGGGTTTCCTAAATTTTCTAAAATAAATATTTAGGTAGCGACTCTGATATCTGGTAAAGCAGTCCATTTTTTTGGCATTTGATTCAAACATCGATTTTTCAAAAGAAATTGTCGGATTTAGACTCTTTTTGTGTTTTCACTGTTTCACATTGCACTTGTGAAATCAGAATTAGAACCAACACACAAGTGGAATCTGAACTGTAAAGGCTGTTCATTATTCCGAAAGGGAGTGTGCAAAGCCGAGCTACACTAATAAATATAGCAAGTCAGCTCTCGCAGCATATTGTATGAAATTTGCATCATCTGTATCTTTAACTTCATGAAATCTGATTCTCGACCACTCTAGCTCCACGAGATTGAACTAATTCTGCAAATGCATCATTCACCGACACTCCCAAAGTATCACTCACTAGTTCAGCAGCCTCATATCTTGTTAACTTAGGACATGACAAAGCCCTGTCAGTGACTGGAATTCCAAGTATGATCCGCACATTATCCAACGTGACAGTCATCTCGCCATCTGGCATGTGAAATGTATTTGTCTCTGGATGCCACCTTTCGACGAATGCAGATATTGCCACTCTATTGCCATGTCGATGTGTGTGATCAATAAGGACACTAAGACCAGACTGCTCAACCAAATGTCTCCACCTAGCATTTTCGACTATTGGTGACATCCATGGCCACTCGGCAAGCTTTCAAGAACGATTCAAACATTTAAGAGGTCCCCGTTCTTGCATTTTACAAAAACATATAACTATTTGAAGCATATAGTACATGTGATTAGTTTATTATTGAGAAATTCACAAAATACCTTTTTCTTCCAAAAAGAGGCAACAACATGGTTACGAAAGCTAATTAGCAATGAAGGATCCTCTGGAGCACCCGGAACTGGTTCTGTGTTGTCATCATCCACACCAACATCGTCCTCCATGAGGTCAGCCTCTACACCAATATCATTATGTCGTCAGCATAATCATTATTCACATCCACATGGTCATCCTCTTCCACAAGGACATTCACTTTCAATGCTTCAGGTTCTGTTTGCCTAGCATGTCTTCTGTTGGATACCGTTGGTCTCTTACATGAGACACCACTAACCATTATGTGCAAACAAAAAAATTAAACCCAATATCAGCAAAAACTCGAATATATTAAATGACTGATGTAAACAATATCAATAAAGAAACCATAAAAAAAAAAATTGAATGTGCAAATGTATAGAAAATGAAAAAAAATCTAATTATAGAATAGCAAAATACATTATTTATTAATGAGAGGGGAGATTTGCGCCGTTAGTACGGCCGAGCTAAGATAGGACGGATTTGTTTTGCTCGGTCTAAAAGATCGGCTGACCGGGCGTGATCTAAGCCTAGCCGAGCTGCGACTAGCAAACATTCGGCAGTGCACACAGCCAAGTGGCGAGACCGGGCTACGGGTAGCTCGGGCTAAACTATGGACAAGTGAGTGATGGCACATCCCTGACCGGTTAGCCGAGATGGCCAGATTCCAAACAACCTCGGATGAAGGTAGAGCGGACAGAGGCCGGCATGCCTCGCGACCGGTATGCCACGATAAACCGGTCAATACCAACCCGGCCCATGAGCATCACCCCTCTGCCCCTTTGACAAGGACTAGTCCGGTGGGGAATAGCGCGGTTGAGTGCCTGTAGTGATAGTTCTTCGCGGGAGATAGGCCGGTCGTGGTACTGCGGTCAGGTGTGCCACCTGGGCCAATGGCACGAGAGAGAGGACATCTGCTCCACGCATGCCGCAATACCGTTAGACAGTTCTGCGTGTACTGGTGGGAGGACTAAGCCTTTACACGCGTAAGGTGGTGAGAGGTGAGCACTGCCAGCTGTCTTGGGGAGGACAGCAGAGGTAATGCGCGCATAATCTTGAGGCTGCATGGCTAGCCTTGAAATAGGGAGGAGAACGAACGTTAGAGGTATGCAACTTCTACCCCAAAGAAAGAAAATACTCTTTCTATCCGTCTTCTTCTTCCTCAAGTGGACTGACTTGATCGTCGGAGGGTCTATCCGGCACACCACCGCCGGGCAGCTCACCGTTTCTGTGTTGCCAGGTAGACGCCGTCAAGAGAAGCTTGGAGTACAAAGAGTATGGAAAGCAGAGGATATTTCGCCCCCATACAATTGGCGCCGTCTGTGGGAAGTCTTTGATACTGAACCCTTGTTCTTTTAGCTTCTTCAACCATTTCCATGGCCAACAACGGCGAAGCCCCACTGTCCGTCGTCGATGGCATCACACCTGAGTACGTCCGCTTGAGAGAAGGTCCTCCGAATATTCCAACCATGGCGGGCCTAGAGACTCCTTCGCGAGATGCGCGAGACAAACGCAGGAGGAGTACTGATCGCTCGCAGAGTCTGGAGAGCCGCTGACGCCGAGGGGAGTCTCATGCGCAGCGCCTGGAGCACAAACTCAAGGACCAAGATGCCCTCATTCGCAAGATGGCGGCGGAGATGGTGCTACTGAAATGCCAGATTAAAGGGAAGGGTGTTGCTGGAGAGGGAAACCTCAGTGAGCGCACCCCGTCCCCTCGTAGTAGCAGTCGCCGCCGGGGGAGGACTCACTCTATCTCCATCACCAGGAACTATGGGGTTGGAGATTCTGACCAAAGAGAGGGCAAGACTCTCTCTCGCGACAGCACCTACCGCCCCTCACGCCCAACGCCGAAGTCGGGATCCTCTTTCTCCACATGTTCCAGGGACTTGAGGGATGTATTAGAGGAGAGGGCGCGCCGTCGGGAGGCTCGAAGAGTGCCGGCATTACAGAGGTTGAGCGCTCCAGTTCGTTGTAGCGAGGAAGTGGCGATGCTAGCCCCCGAAGTGATGGCCCATGCGCTAGTGGACAAAGAGCTGGCGCGACTTACAGCCACGCCGCTGTCTCCAGAGATTGAGAGTACACCACTCCCCGCTGGATTCCACCAGCCAAAGTTCACTTTGTACGACGGCAAGACGGATCCGTATATGCATGTGAGCCATTACCGACAAGTGATGGCTGGCCACCGGCGGAATGACGCCTTGATGTGCCTCATATTCCCAGCAAGCTTGAGAGAGCTGGGTTTGAAATGGTTCGAAAGGCTCCCGGAGGGGAGTATTGAGGGGTGGCAGCAACTAGCGGAAGCCTTCGTCACCAGATTCAAAACCAACACACGAACGCCGAAGGAGGTCGACCATCTCCTGGGAGTCAAGATGGAGTCTGGATGTTCGTTGAAGGCATACAATGCGAAATACTGGGAAACTTACAATGAGATCCTCGACTGCCCCACCAATCTGGCGATCACTCAGTACAAACGGGGTCTCCCAGTCGGACATAGGCTGCGAGATTCACTCACGATGCATCAACCCACAACCATGGAGTCATTGATGCAGCGGATTAATGAGCACATTCGTGTGGAGGACGATGCCGCCTCCGCGACCGAGAAGGCTAATCCGGTCGCGGCAGACAGAAGGGTTGCGGGGAAAGTTCACTCGGTTGGGCAGGAGGATAACCGCCCAAACAACCGGTCGAAAGACCAGCGCCATGGTTCAAATCGTGATGACAGAAACAAGGGCCGCCGAAACGACCGGGCTGACCCTCCCCGTGATGCAGCGGAGGATACCAAAAGAAAATTGAAGGCGTGGACTAGGATCACCACGGTATTTAAAATCCCCATCTACCGCATTTTGAGCGAGATTTGAGGGGAACCCTTCGTCCGTTGGCCGGCCAAGTTGGGGAGTGCGCAGAGGGGCTTCAATTCAAAATATCGCTGCACCTTTCATGAAGAACGGGGGCACTGAACAGAGGACTGCTTGCCGCTCAAACAACACTTAGAGGAGTTGGTGGCAGCGGGGCATCTTGACCAATACATAGATGGGGGCATCAAGGCCACGCCAGCGGACCAAGCCGAGCCAAATGGCCTGGCCGCCCTAGAAGCGCCCCCGCAAGGTGTAATCAACGTCATCCACGGTATCGTCGAACCGGCCAGGGTTTGCGAGCTGAGAGGGATGATCAAGAAGGCCGAGCACATGAGGGAGGTGCTCTCTGTTCAGCCCGCTGTGAAGAAGGGAAAGACCGAAGAAAGGGACATCCTTTCATTCTCAACCAAGGACTTGGAAAGAGTTCAGATGCCGCACAATGATGCTTTAGTAGTCACTCATCGCGTCAAAGACTTTGACATCAAGAGAATCTTGATCGACCAGGGGAGTTCGATAGAAATCATGTATTATGATGCGTTTAAACAAATGAAGTTGGAAGACAAGAGAATCTTGATCAACCAGGGGAGTTCGGTAGAAATCTTGGCCCCCGCAACGTCCCCTTTGGTCAGCTTCAACTCGCAGCCAGAATGGCCAATCGGAAAGATTATTTTTCCAGTCAAAACGGGATCAGTCGTAAAGCAAGTAGAGTTCTGAGTGCTTAAAGTTCCATCAACTTACAACTTGATCTTAGGCAGGGGTTGGCTGCACGCCATGCAAGCAGTTGCTTCGACCTTCCACCAAGTCATGTGCTTTCCAGCACCAAGCGGACAAATAGAGGAAGTTTGGGGGGACCAGGTGATGGCGAAACAATGCTTTGTTGCGGTAAATGGCAGCTGAGCGGCCAAAGGGTTCGTCCAAATGATTGAAGGGCCCGAGGGTAAAGAGGTCCTTGGGGACGTAGGAAGAAAGGCCGAGGAAAATTCGGTCAAAGATTTGGTGGAAGTGCACATTGACGAGAACGATCCAACAAAATTCTTTCTCTTGGGATCATCCTTGTCTAGCGCCGAGCGGATAGATTATGTCAACTTCTTGGTTTCCAATTTGGAGGCCTTTGCCTGGACACCTCACGACATGCCTGGCATCGACCCGAGCTTCATTTGTCATCAGTTGAATATCTTCCCTAATGCACGGCCAGTCATTCAAAGGACGCGCCGCTCAGCCTTGCACCATGCTGAAGTGGTCGCAGAAGAAGTGAAGAATTTGTTGGAAGCTGGGGCCATAGAGGAGGTGCAATACCCTCGGTGGATATCCAACACGGTGGTTGTTCCGAAAAAGAATGGTAAGTGGCGAGTCTGCGTTGACTACAAGACTGTCAACCGAGCTTGCCCCAATGATAGCTTTCCCCTCCCACGAATTGACCAGCTGGTGGACTTAACCGCTGGCCATCAGAGGTTTAGCTTCCAAGACGCATATTGCGGCTACCACCAGATAGCCATGTATAAACCGGACAGAGAGATCACGTCGTTCACAACTCCCAGAGGCTTATATTGCTACAAAGTCATGCCGTTCGGACTAAAGAATGCCGGGGCGACCTTTCAGCGGATGGTAACAAAAATGTTCGCTCCTCTCTTGGGCCGAACAATGGAGGCTTATATCGACGATATGGTGGTGAAGAGTAAGGAGAAGTCTCAACACCTCGCCGACCATGCAGAGATGTTCGCCATACTTAAGCTCCATAAGCTTCGTTTGAACGCCACAAAGTGCGCCTTCGGAGTTGGCACCAGGAAGTTTCTGGGTTTTCTGGTCACAAACCGAGGGATTGAAGCCGACCATCGCAGATCAAGGCCATACAAGACCTGGAGCGTCCCAACTCCACGAAGGACGTTCAACATCTTGCCGGGATGGCAGCCGCGTTAAACAGATTTATCAGCCGATCTTCTGATCGTTGCAGGCCCTTCTTTAAAACTCTGAAGTCCAAATTCTTCTGGGATGACGAGTGCGACCGCGCACTAGCAGACCTGAAAGCATATCTCTCCTCAGCCCCTATTTTGGTCACACCTCAGCCAGGCAAAGAGTTGTACCTCTACTTGGCTGTCTCTTAACACGCGGTCAGCGCGGTATTGGTGCGTGCTGAAGGCATCCAGCACCTACCGATCTTCTATGTAAGCAAGACTCTCCTCCCAGCCGAAACGAGGTATCTTCCCTTGGAAAAATTGGCGCTGGCCCTAATGATGGCGTCAAGAAAGCTGGCACACTATTTTCATGCCCATACAATAGTTGTGTTAACCGAGTTCCCGCTTAAAGTGCTTTTTGAAAAGGCGGACTTCACTAGGAGAATTTTGAAATGAGCCGTGGAACTAGGACAATATGACATCAAGTTCCGACCGCGCACCGCAATCAAGGCTCAAGCACTTGCCGACTTTGTGGCGGAATTTGCCCCTGGGATGCATCCAGTATGCCCGGTTGATTTGGTTGGTGCGGATTTAGCACAACCCATGGTTCTAGCAACAGAAACGAGTGTTGGTTCGCATGTAGGAAAAGAGACGAGCACGCCCAGACTAACAAAGTCCGAAGATGATGAACCCAACCAAGTCAAAGAAAGGGACCAGGATGAACCGATCAGTGACTTGGAAATGAGAAGCTCCCAGAACCCCTCTGATTGCTGGAAACTGTTTATTGGCAAGATGTGGAAGCTCTTCGTTGATGGGGGGTCCAACAGACATGGGGCCGGGCTGGGCATCGTGCTGAACTCGCCGGACGGGCTGATCATCGAGCAGGCAATTACACTCGGCTTCCCAGCATCCAACAACGAGGCTGAGTATAAAGCTCTCCTCGCCGGACTAAGAAGCGCGCTGAGAATGAAAGCCACAGCCCTTATGGTATTTAGTGATTCCAAGTTGGTGGTCAATCAGGTCTCGGGGGAGTATGAAGCAAAGGACGAAAGAATGGCCAAGTATCAGGCGCTGGTACGCGCAGAGATCAAGAAGTTCACTGCAATAAGGTTGGAACAAATCGACCGCGAGGAAAACGGCGCGGCTGATGAATTGGCCGGACTTTCTTCTGCTCAAACAGCTTTTCCTAATCCCTTGATGATAGAATTTTTACCACGGCCAAGCATTGAGGAACCAGAATCAGCCGAGGTACTCTGCACCGACATGGGCCCTTCTTGGATGGATTCTATCATCGCCTTCCTGAAAGATAGAATTCTACCAGAAGAAAAGAAGGCGGCACACAAGATCCGGGCAAAGTTAGAGCGATTTTGGCTCTCCCCGTCCGAGGCCTTGTACAAGAAATCTTTCACCGGCCCATATTTGAAATGTGTCCACCCCACCAAGGTGGAGGCTTTCCTCTATGAGATACATGAGGGCATCTGTGGCAGCCATACTGGGGGCAGATCCTTGGCTTACCGAGCAATTTCTCACGGTTATTGGTGGCCGTGCATGCAGGCAGATGCGCAAAAATATGTTCGTAGGTGCGAGAAGTGTCAGAAGTTCGCCCACCAGATCCACCAGCCGGCTAGAGATTTGCTCCCTCTCATAAGTCCTTGGCCGTTCGCGCTTTGGGGGTTGGATATTGTTGGGCCACTCCCAGCTGCACCAGGCAACCGCAAGTTCTT